CTGTTTAAAGGCACAGTCAACTTAGTGAATGTAAACTTCTGACCCACTGGAATTGTGATACAGTGAATTATAAGTGAAATAATCTGTCTGTAAACAATTGCTGGAAAAATTATTTGTGTTGTGCACAAAGTAGATGTCATAACCGACTTGCCAAAACTATAGGTTTCTAACAAGAAATGTGTGGAGTGGTTGAAAAACGAGTTTTAATGACTCCAACCTAAGTGTATGTAAACTTCCGACTTCAACTGTACATGCACACACACACGCGCACACACACAAAGAACAAAATGCTACTTACTGCAGTTTCTCCAATTTACAGTGTGGATCCTCCAATCTAGCAGAGATCTGTCTCATTGCTGAGTCTCCAGGGTAATTGTAGCTTAGATCTAGTTCTCTCAGGTGGAAAGGGTTTGAACACAGGGCTAAAGCTAGAGACCCAAAGCCTTTCCCTGTGACAGCACAGCCTGACAACCTGATGAGAGAGTATGATTCAACATGAATACTTAAATATACTATCCCAGAGATACTGGATATAATGACGAGATGCTTGTGCCTCCGCCCTAACAATGGGATTCATTGTCCACAGAGCGGAACAGGGGCTGTCAATCTCCCGCCTATTCCTCTCTTTGGATTGGTGGATACATCTCATTATTAGAATACTTTTTGGAGTATTCGATAAGGGGTGTTGACGTCAACCGCCTGTATTCAATGGGGAGTGAGATGCTAGCCTCATGAATATGCATAGACCGTCTCGAATTTCAACAGGGACAACTCCGATATAAAGTGTTTTTTCTCAAAGTTGCCGGGATGTCACGTGCATCACACTTATATCAGTACACTCTTAACAATCTAAGCATTACAAAACGTATATTAGATTAAATAAGCCTCAGGTATCAAAAGCTATACATTTTTATGTGGACTAAATTTGAGGCTCATTGCCCCTCATACAAAAACTCCTCACTTGCTTAATAATGAATGATCTGCTTAATGTGGACAGATTTTGGTTGGAGTAAACCCTCTCACTTTGCCTCTTCCTCTCTGACAATACAGAACTTTTGCCTCTGGGAGTGCTCTTTGGTCAAAAAAGGGGTCCCCTAAATGGACAGAAATATTGTCAAGATATGACCATAGAAAGTGGCACACCTCCCCATGCACATAAGCAAACATTTATATTGTATATATTATAGGCTTAATATTGTGTGATTAAATGAGATAAGAAATGGATTCATATATGTCTACATGAAACATACATGGACCATACTATGTCAAGGCTTATGTTATCCAGATTTAGATTTTTGTTATGATAAATTATATAATTTCTTTATATATGGAATATAAGGACATATGGAATGTAAGGAATTGTTATTTAATTGATGACATTTGATCTCTTGTGTGAACACAAAAGCACTCCTCTCCCATTTGATTTCCCAGTCAAGCAGAGAGCAGTTCCACCCCTGTATCTTGCAGGTCATTGTTACTCAGGTCCAGTTCTCTCAGGTGAGAGTCTGAGCTGAGAGCTAAGGCTTTACATCCTTCCTCATGGAAACAGCACTGACTCAACCTTCACAATTGAAAATATGCATTATTTTAAAACAAACCACATTTGAATAAATTCATCCAGGGTCACTCATGCTATTCATTCACACAACAATATTTTAGGCCAGGATTCAATCTGATCAGCGGTAGATCTGCGTTATAGCGCTCTTGACATTCAAAAGGGAATTTTCCGATTGCACCGACATATGCAGCATTTCCTGTGAATGTGGGAATGCGGGAACATTGCCTTTAAAAGGTGCAAAGCTGACGAAGCGCGATCGGATTGAACCTGGCCTAAAAGTCTACAAGGAATACTAATGAACAGTCTACTGCTTGTCCTCCACAACACATACAGGCTCCAACCTGGTCTCACAAGATTAAAACAAATATCTTGGACAAACATCAAAAGAAAAAGGGGATGCTAGTGACCTGGCTGAAGGCCCTAGATTTTAACCAACCTTTCGGTGGCTGATCCACATCTCTGACCAGTGATAACAGTAACATGTGATAACACAAGTCTTAGGCAAATATAGGTACTCACCACAATATTTCCAGTTTACAGTGTGGACCCAACAAAACACCACAGATCAACTTCACTCCTGAATCTTGCAGGTCATTGTCACAGAGGTACAGTTCTCTCAGTTGTGAGGAGTGATTCAGCCTACAGGCAACAGATAAATACACAAAACTGTGATTAGCATCATTCAGTGTGGCTTCTCCAGCCCTGCAGACATCAGCTTCAGTTTGAATCATTCAGGGCATTTTGACTCAGCAGCCCAGCTAGCACATAACGTTCTGAGAACCATATGTTTCTTAGAGCTTGGTGAGAGTGTGGTTGTCTTATGGTTATTTAGCATACAATCTTCCCACAACGTTCTGGGAATCATGCAGGATAGTTGCTTGGCTTTGGAAAATTTTCAGCACATTGGCATTTCATTACTTTAACAGAACGTTTCCTAAAAGTTCAAACATGGTTACATTTGATTTGATTTGATTTGATTAATTACATTTTTGGTAATGTTCTAGGAACGTTCTCCAGCTGGTTTGACATTGGGAATGTTCTCAAATAGTTCAGAGAACATTAAGAAACAACGTTCTCCTGTGGGAATTTCAATACTTCAGCATAACGTTTCCACCAGGTTTCCACATGGTTTTATCTAAAGTCATTCTTAGAACATTAAGAAACGTTATTTTGTGGGAATTTCATACTTCAGCATAACGTTTTTTGCATGTTTCCTCATGGTTCTATTTAAAGTCATGTTCTCAGAACATTGAGAAAACGTATGGCACGTGCACGCGCAAGGGGCGAGCTGTTGGCTAATGCAATAAGAGCGGGCACATTCCCTATATAATGCAACATTTTGTGACAAAACCATCAGTACATGGGAATTTAACCGCAAAATGTATTCTTATGTGCAGTATGTCATCATGCACAGCCTTTTATCCACAACAAGTCAATTTGATGGAAACATCTCTGGTTGGAAAATGTGCATATTGTTTTTATGTGGATTTTTTAATATTCGCATGAAAATCTGTCGCCAATTGGATGGAAACCTAGCTAGTGAGAGGAAAACTACACAAATGTTTAGGCTGGACTGTCAAAAAACGTGTTTTACGTTTGTCAAGTGACCAATTGTCTCTCTATATCTACTTATACTTAAGGTGATTATTGTTGTGTTACCATATAGATTTTGGTTATCATTTGTATTTTCTTTAAACTTCATTTCATTTGTATTTATTAAATAAATTTTTACTTCCGGCAAAATCATTTCATTGGAAAATAGACATCATAAATGAATAGAAACAACAATTTACTGGCTAGCTTGATATGGCCTTTCTGCTACATGCTCCTTTCTCCTTCATGTTCCCCTTCGACTGACTTTCCATGTTCGCACACCCTACCTTGTCAGACCAGCATTACGAGCTTGTTGATGTCAGAGATGTATAAACTGTGTGGAAGTTTATCATACTGCATCTAAAAGGTACAGCGTGTACAGGATGTTTAACAGGCTACATTCCCTGTGTCAATTAAGGTGCAGTGCAATACAGAAAAAGACAAGTCATGAAACATTGGATATCATTTCATTATATTTATAATTTTTTATACAAATTCACAAAAATAATTTGGAAACGGTTGTAGACCACAGACACAATGAAGCTGAATATCACATTACTAGGACAGTTCCATACAGAAGAAGGAGGGAGAGAGACAAAGAGATTCTCTAAAAACTCTGCACTTAATGTTCTGAAATGTCTCCAATGTTGCCCAAACTCCTTTTAACCAAATCAGAGCATTGCCATCGGCCCGTACCATCCATAACCAGACAATCTGGCTTTCAGTATTCAGGGCCTTGTGATGGATGCCTCAAATCAAAAGTATGTTATCTTTGTTGCTATGGAGGCTGGAAGTTGACATTGTTCAGTATCCTGACCTGTTTTCCGAAATAAGTTGTCTGCAGCAAAGTTTCATGGACCGTTTCGCTGCAGGGTGACCATAATGCCCAGCCAATCAGGAACGGCTACAGCGGTCACCCCTGACGATTGCCACTTGCTGTCCCAGAAGTTCAACCATCACTCCGTTGTCCAGAGTGACAGTGCATTGGATTGTGTTACCACAGAAACACCCATGTCTACTCCCATGAGATCAGAGGGTACTTTGATTTTCAAAATGTTTGTTTTTGACCAAACACAAACAATTTCAATTTCCTTTCGGACAGAATTTTGTGATATAAAATATATACATACTGCTAACAAAATAATGTAAACCCGCTCGTGTAAATATGGTCTTACTGACCGACTCTTAACAGGCATTTGTTTTTTTGTGAAAAAAAAGTATTAGAAAACAATGCAGAAAACAACAAATGTACAGCAATCCCAGGTTATCAGGGAAAACATTCCAACAGAGAAAAATACCCAGGGTGTCTCCTAGCAGCTAACCCCCCCGCGAAATGAATTTGCCCAACAGGAATGAACTGTACAGGAGAAACCATTCTATCTTAAATAAAGTGGCTATTTTGTAACACATTCACATGTCCCTCCACACCTCTCCATCTTCAACTTGTGTTCCTCATTATATAAAATGTTCAATAAATACACAATAAAAAATATATAGAGGTGTGTCATTCAGACTGAGTGTGCCGTGTACCCTATGCTTTCAAGGCTTTTCTTCCATGACGACTGCCTCGGTCACAGCAACTTTTTCATACTGGTGAAGGAATACACAAAGCGAAGTGACTGATTGGACCCAGAATCCCGATTGATCTGACCGCCAGCCAATAGGGACACTGACATGGCAATAGTCCCAGCTAATATGAAAAGAATGCACTTCGATTACCCACAAATGTCTTGAGTCTCTCAGGTTAGTATTCGACATTTGGGCCTGGAATGTGCATCTCTTAAAATAGTGTCTGTCAGGTGGAAGGAAAAGTCACAATGACTTAGTATTCTTGATCCATCTCAACCCTTCAGTGGGTCATGTCAGTTTCTGCAGCGGCGCTCGCCTTCTCCTCCTCCGTCAGCGAGGTCACTTCCTGCTCCTCTGTTGTCATTTCCTGGTCGTTGCCTTGTGTTTTGGCGTGCGCCACATGCTCCTGACCTCCCTGGTCCATGGCGGTTACGGGTAAGGGAGCTTTCTCCTGAGTAGCAGTGGAGGCCTTTTCTGTAGTCTCCAGCACGCTGCACAGCTCCATCTCGTGGATCTCCACGTCAAACGGAGCAGCGGGTACGATAGTGGGGGGAGACTTGCACTCCATACATGCCTGAGAGAGAGAGGGGGTAAAGGAGGGTTAGGTGACAGCCAAAACACTTACAGTATCACAATTATGTTGTGGATGAAAAGAGGTTTGCTAATAATAAAGTTAATATTCCTACTGTTAATATTCCTAAAAAATGTGGACATAATCTGTTTTGAGAAGGTCGTTTTGTGTAGGGGTTACTCACTGAGATGTTTAAGGCGCGGGGCAGGCGACCGGTGCGTATCCAGGGGTGGACCTGGCTCAGGTCTCTCTTCTGTTCCTCAGTGAAGCGGGGCTGGTGTTTGTGCATGGCCCTCAGGGCCTCGCGGTCCTCCCGCAGCACAGTCTCCCGGTCCTTGGTGGGCAGCTGGTAGGTCATCATCACCTTGTCATCCGTGTTGGCCATGAGGAGCCAGATGGGGTCCTGCAGGACACACTTGATGAACTGTTCCTCTCCGTCTTCCCCTGCTGCACTGCCACCTGCTGGCTGCTTGCCGGAGTGGTCGTTCTCTGACGAGTCGATACTGCCAAAGTACTTGCTGGTATGGCTGCTCTGACTGCGACCTGGGGGAAGACGTTGGAGATGACGAGGTGAGACCTTAATTCCATGCTAGCTAGAGTTTTAAGTGTCAACAGTCTGATTGGGGTACTCGGTTTGACTTTAGAGTGAAAACAAGAAGATTTGTCATTTCAAAAGGCTCTATGTCAGTGGTGTCATTTTGCCCTTGGGGAGCGCATTCAGTCTTCAACGTACTGAAAATGTGTTATATTTTCTCGCTGTCAATTTTCAAAAATAGTCCTCTTCGTTTCTTGAATTTTCGATGCTCCCTGACTGTCTAGCTTTCATTAGGTGATTATTAGCGAGCTGGACAGTCAAGAAACTATGAATGTAGGTCCATTATCATTTCTACAGTTTCGATTTGGTTTTAGTCCTCCCCCCAAAGAAATGTTGATTAACTCAAACCCACCGCGGGACGTATGTTTGACACCCTTGGTCTAGGAGATATTTGACAAAAATGTAAGTATTTAGGTGATTTAAGATTGTTGTCTCAAAGTCACCACAATATATTATAATTGCCCTTGCCATTTCAGATAGGCAGTATTGAGGGGGTACTCACTGGTTCCACTCCCTGAGGAGCTGCAGCCGTTGGAGCCCGAGGACCCAGATCCTGAAGACCCTGATCCAGAGAACCCGGAGCCAGAAGCGGCTGAGCCGGTGCCTGAGCGAGAGTCCTCCTGCAGGAGCAGGTCCAGTAGGTCACTGGAGGTGGACTCTACATCCTGGTTGGAATCATTGGCCTGAAAAGAGGAAGAGAAAGGTTCGATTTGAGTAATGCCTTAGCTGCAAGTATTGAGTTGCCACTATAATGGCGCAAAATGTACATTAAGTGAAATATTTTTTACTCACATTCTCGTTGCCGTTATCTGCCGATCTCTCATGACTCGCTTGTGCGGGTGGCGTGGCCTGTTGCGCAGCAGCAGCCAGCGCCGTGGCGACCTCCAGCCGGTTGCTGGGCAACTCCTCCACCAGCTGTAGTAGGTTGAGGGGGGAGGAGCAGCGAGAGTGGAATAGGGGCGACTCTGGGCCCTCACGTTCAGCCGGTACTTGACTACACGACTGGGGGGTGCTGGAGCCAGAGGCTGGCCGTTGGGCCTGGATGGGCATGGCGGTTTGCATGAGCGAGGGCATAGTTGGCATGGGGCATGGCATCCCGTTGGTACCGGGGAAGGGTAAACCTGCGTTGGGGTTGAAGAAGTGCTGTGGGCTGGGGGTAACCATGGTGGCTCCTGGCTGGGACATGGGGCTTCCCATCATGTTCCCCGTTGTGTCCATAGGTGTGCCCATGGCTGTGGCCATCTGGGTCATGTTGGGGTTAAGCTGGGGGAACATGTAGTTGGGCAGCACCAGGGCCATCATGGGAGGTACCATCTGGTTCTGCATGGAGGGGATGCCCATGGGCTGGGAGAGAGTAGGGTAGATGGGGAGCATCCCTGGGGGGTAGGGAATGGAGGCCAGGCTGGCCTGGGATCCCACAGAGGCTGGCCAGGAGGAGGAGGTGGTGGTGGTGGGCCCCAAGGCCAGGGGGTAGGTAGAGATGGGGGGTGAGTTTATAGGGCTGACGTTGGGGCCCCTGAGAGTTACGGTCATGCCCATAGCCAGAGGGTCTCTCTGTTCTGAGGACTCTTGCTGCTTCAGTCTCTTGGCTCCGCGGCCGCGTCTACGACTACCTCCCGCTGCAGGGTAGTCACGAGAACAACGTGCTCCTAGAAGACAAGATAAAGATGCATAAGTTAAAAGGAATTAATGATGACATTGAAGGGAAATTTAAAAAGCTAGTTGTTGAAAAGAGTTGTTGAGAAATGCATTTTTACCTGTGGCGAGGGGGTTGTTAGTGGGGAGCGGGCATCGGAGGGCTGAGGCTGGGTCGAACACCCTTAGCTGGCTCAGGTCACTGAAGCGACAGAGGAAGGCCTGCTCCTCCTGCTGCGTGTGGGCAGAGAGCACCTCCTTGGTCAGGCCCTTGGTCAGGCCACCTCTTCGGCTGGGTGGTGAGGTCATTCTGGGCGGGGGAGGAGGAGGGTCGATGACGGCGATGGGGGTCGGAGTGGCTAGTGTAGGAATGGGAGGAGCGTCTTCCATTACAATATCTGTGAAGGAGAAAGAGAGGATGAAAGAATGAGGATAGGTTATAGACAGGATTGTTGTAGCACATGCAAAAGCAATATAACGCAGGCAGGTTTCAGAAAAACAAGACTGAAGGATAGAGAAAACTGAAAGGCTGGACTCTGCGACTTGAGAGACAGAGGGAGAGAAAAGGACAGAGAAAGAGAAAAAACAAGAGCTAGAAATACAGAGAGCGAGAAAGCTAGATAGATAGGGAGCAATGCTTCAAGAGATATCGAAGGAAATAAATATCCACAACAGACAAATGGACACAGACACAAGACTATCAAGTAACCGTGAGACTCCACAGAGAGACACTGGTGGCAGATAGATAGTGAGTGGACAGGCGAGTGGTATAGCAGAGAGAGCCTAATATAATAAGAGGCCAGGCCAGTCTAGAAGACAAGCGTGGCGGCCATGTTGTCTTGCCCACCTGACTCTGGGGGCTTCTTGTCTCCCACGTGGACGATGGTACTGCTGAAGCTGCATTGCGAGGTGACTGAAGCTACGCTCTCGGCCTTGTGGCTGTGCAAGGCCAGGGGGGGCAGGGGCGCCACCCCCGCAGAGTCCCCCACCAGGGTGACTGCAATAGCTAGATCACCTACAGCGCCACACACGCAGAAACAAGCAGCCAACACACAGCCAAACGTACAGACCTAGGTGAGTCATCGTACGGATTGCTCTCATCGTAAACCCCGCCCCAACCCCAGTTTATTTCAAGCGTGTCACAACAAGCAGCCCTTTTTGAGTTTAAATCATTTATAAAATAGACTAAGTTCTTATTAGAAGTCCTCTCGCTCACACACTCTTTAACACTCTTTCGCACACACACACACTCGTCTCGCGTGTCCCGTCTCTCCTGTTGTGTGTGTGGACTGCAGCGACCAGTGGTCTAGTTTAAGTCTAATATAAAAGGAGGGCACCTGGTATACATATATATGGCTATGTAACAGGGAATGTAGTGTGACTGTACCTTTTGCATTGCCAAAAGTTTCGTGCTGCAGTTTGTCATTGTCAGATGTTGACGTGCCAGAGGACGAGCCAAACTTCCTCTTCACAGTGTTGGGAACATTGCAGCCGTCCAAGTACCTGGGAAGGGAAGAGGAAGTGATGTCGTAAGTCAATGTCAATCACTTTGGTTCACTGTATGAAGTGCACTTCCTTTCAATTTCAAAGCCCATATGAGCCTACTTCCTTAACTTAAATCACGATCAATAAAGTCACTATTCACAATACAATCACTATTAATAACCTCATCATTCACAATAAAATTACTATTAATACCATCGCTAATCAAATTAAAATCACAATTAATTATGGCATTATTCACACCAGTACATACCTTATGATGCTGTCAAGACAGTTGATCTGTTGGTAGCTGTAGTCACTGGGGGGCTCCTTCTTTAACAGCTGCTGGTTGTTGGGCACTGGGGTTTTGGGTGGGCACACCACCTTGGGGACAGGACTCTTGATGGGGTCCACTCCTTTGATGGCTCGGAGCGTGGTGACGGCGTGTCGCCAGGGTGGGGTGCGGTTGCAGGAGTCGACGAAGACCTGCTGCCCACTGGTCTTGACCATGTGCACGTCCTTACAGATCTGCTGGAACGTCATCTGGAGAAACAAGAGGACAATGATGGTCAGAAATCAGTGTGTCAGTTATGTGTGTGTATATATGAAGAACTGTTGGTGTATGTATTTTGGTGTGACTGTGTGTGTGTCTCCATTCCACTCACCGGTTTGTGCAGGGCAATCACGGCTGCTTCCATGGCCTCCATGGCATTGGTGGACTTGCTGTCGGAGACTGAGGATGCGGCGCTGAGGTGCTGCTGCTCGTGGGAGCGGGATCCATTTGAGCCCAGGCTGCTGTAGCCCTGCGACCCACCGCTGTGCACCGGCTGCACCAGGAGACGGTGGATCTGCTCGCTCAGCTGCACGATCTCCGGGGCCATGGGCCGGCCCTCGCAGCTCCGCAAAGGGGTGAACACGTCCTCGTTCAGGGGGCTGGTTCGGACTTTGTGGCGCCCTACGATGAAGGCCACCTTCCTGCTCCAGGGGTTGACGAAGGAGGACCAACTGGTGTCGATGGTCAAGTACTCCCCGCTGCGGGAACACATCCTCAGGGGAGAGCTGTTGAAGGGCTGCCCTGCAAATTGGAGGACTGGAGGATGGAGGGAGAAGGGGTTACAATGCAATACAATTGTATGCTTTACAGAAAGAAAGAGAGAGAGAGAGAGAGCGCGAGAGAGAACGAGCGAGCGATAGAGCGAGAGCGAGTGAAACAGACAGAATGAGACTCATGAGACTATCCAAATAGATTGAAAGAAAGATATGGAGAAAGAAAGATGGAATAAAAAGACAACATGTGTGTACTCACTCTTCTTGTGTATGGCCACCATGATAGGTCTGTCCTCAGGGTGGAGGTAGAGAAGCACGGGGGTTCCCACCAGGTCCTGGGGCAGGTAGCCCAACAATGGCACGGCCCTTTCATCCACTTCCTGGAATAGACAGCTGGGGGTGTGACTGGTGGTGAAGATCCTCTTGTCGGCAGGGATACGGGGAGCTTCGTATCCAGAGTGTACCCGCTCGGTGAGGAGCAGGCAGCAGGGCTGGGGAGCTGAGGTGTCAAAATCCCTCAGGGTTAGCTGGTAGGGGGTCATGCGGAAGGAGTAGTATTTCATCTCGCCTCCCTGCGCCCGGTCGGCGCTTATGCGACAGAAAATGGACTTCTCCTGGGTGCAGTCTGTCGGTGGGGAGACAGAGCCCATGCAGGTGGCCCAGGGGGGCAGGCGTGAGGGCGCCGTACTGCTGTAGAAGGTGCTGACATCCTGGGGAGCCAGCAGCTCAGAGAAGATGGCCCCCAGGAGCCGGTCGGGCTTGCAGCGCAGCATGGACGAGCCCTGGGGGGAGATGTACACCACCTTGCCCGTCACGAAGGACACCGCCATGGAGAAGGTGTCCTGCAGGGAGGAGGAGAGAGAAGGAGGAAAGAAGAGTCAGGACTGATTGCTTGCATACTATGTGATCTGATTGCTCAGTGTTACAAAAAAAAGAATGGTTCAATTCACAAGGTGAAACTGAATGTAAGTGTGAAATACATTGTTTTGAGGAAATTCACTTACTGTGTTTTTGAGGGTGTATTCAGAGGTGATGTTGTCCAGTTCCTCAATTGTGTATGAGGACAGATCCAGGCTGCAGCCGTGGCACTCCTCCACGCCCCACTGGTGGTAGTACTCCTGGTTGGCCCGAACCTGCTTCACACAGTTCAGGGCGTACTTGAGGGCGTCTAGGGTGCTGGAGCAACCTTTGCCCTTGCGCTCTGCAGGCAGGCGGATCTTAAGCTCCTTGAGGGCTTTCAGCATCTCCTTTTGGGTCTGGATGCGGGCCGTCTGGTGCTGCTCATTGCTGCTGCAGCCAGAGGTGGAGGGAGGGTCCTGCTCTGAGCTGGCTGACAGCAGGCTGTAGGCCAGGGAACTGCTGGGTGGAGAAGGGCTCTGGGACTGGGAGTTAGAGCTCTTATTGCTCTCCGTGTTCTCCAGCATCATGCCTGAGTCCTTCTGGCTGGAGGAACAGTGGGAACTCCTGGATTGACGTCCCCTGAACCCACTGCCACTCTGCCTCCCTCCTTCGCTCGACTCCCTCTCCCCGGAGTCGTTCACACTGGATAGAGCGTCCCCGTCGTCTGAGGTGGGACCCCTTTGGTCCCCTCCGGACGAGCCGCCGGCGCCGGATCCACATGGAGAGGATCCTCGCTCCCGATTGGCTAAGTCCGATGTTTCCAATTGGCTGCCACTGTTGTTGCTGCCCGGGAAGCTCACTCCTGTTCCCACCCCCTCTTCTTCTTCTTCTTCATTGGCACTTCCCACTCGTTCTTGAGTGTCATTGCCAGGGGCGGAGTTTGATTTGTCATAACTCATAATAGGTTAGGACGAGGCTGGTTAGGTTTAGTTGAGATAAAGCGCTCTCACCAAGTGTTAATTATTGAAAAGTATATTTTCCAGTTGATTAGGTGGGACTAGTGTGACTGCAGTTGTGACTCATGGCTGGTTGATTGGTTGATTAAACACTAAGGAGAGAAAGCATTGTTTCTCCTGAAAACACACAAAAAAAACCCTCCTTTAAAAGGGGTTTAGGTTTCAAAAATGTTGATGTGCTCGCCTTCTCTGTGCAGTGTTGCTTGTTGCTCTTGGTGCTACAGGCCACCTGGTGAGGAGGAGGTTGGAAAGGGAGGGAGAGAGAAAAACAGCAGTTTAGACGTCGTCTTCTCTTCTCTGTCAAGATGGGATTAGTTTGAAGTATTGAAGCTGGTCTATCTACATTCTGTCAACCTTGGGTAACTCTGCTTTGTACCAGTAAAATACTATTTTCCCCTGCTTTGTCACAACTGCATAAAAAATAGGGCTTTATGTGATTATTGGCCTACAGATCTATAAGGTGAGAGGGGGTTCAAGTCAACGGCTATAAAAATAATATAGTTCCCTAAAAGTGTGCTTAAAAAAAGAGGCTTCAAGGCATCAAATGGAGGCAACCTGTTAGGCAACCTGTTTAGTTGAACGCCAAAGGGAATATCAAAGGAACCCATACAAGGTTACACACCACTGCATCAGACAGGTGACTCGTTTCTGTGTGTGTGTGTGTCTTAGGGGTGTGAATTCTTAAACTTAATTGTTAATGTTTAGAAAACATCCCTAACCGAAAAACAATGTTTTTTCCACAACATTTTTAATCACAGTGCAGTTATCACAGAACTACCACTAACAGGTCCCGATCATCATCATCATCATCATCATCATCATGAAGGGAAAAATAAAAAATAAACAAATACCTAACAAAACAATGCTGTAACGTTAAGAGATATGCATCTTTCAAACAGCTGGGAAAATGGCAGAGAATGAGACAGGGAAGCGACAGCAGCGAAGTCCAGTACTTTGAGAAGTTAAATGAGAAGGTGAAATGCAAACTTTGTGAGGTGGAATTGAGCTACAATGGCATTACAGTGCAATGCTTAACCATCTGAAAGGGAGGCACCATGAGACCCAAACCGTTGCTGGCAGCAGCGCAGGCCCCCCAACAACATACAGACAGGCTCTTCACGCGAAAGAAGTGTGATAAAGGAGGGAGTGAGAAAATCACAGCGCTGATTACAGAAACAATTTCAGTTGATATGCAGCCAGGTAGCCTAACGGTTAGAGCATTGTGACAGTAACTGAAAGGTTGCTTGTTCGAATCCCCGAGCCGGCAAGGTGGAAAATCTGCCGTTCTGCCCTTGAGCAAGGCAGTTAACCCCCACAACAACTGCTCCCCAGGCGGCGATGACGTCGATTAAGGCAGCCCCCCGCACCTCTCTGATTCAGAGGGGTTGGGTTAAATGCGCAAGACACATTTCGGTTGAATGCATTCAGTTGTATAACTGACTAGGTACCCCCTTTCCCCTTCCCCTATTGTCAATGGTAGAGGATGTCGGCTTCAATGCCGATTGCATATCTCGGACAGACTACAAGATGCCATGTCAAAAGATGCCAAGTGACGGCCTTGATGGAGAAATTGTACAATGATTGCTCTGCAAGTACAAAGCGCAAGCTCTCAAACACCCCATATGCCACGTTAACAACAGATTGTTGGAGGTCTATGAACACACTGTCATACATCACTGCAACGAGCCATCACACTGATGATGGAGGCAGCAGGTAACCTAGCGGTTACTGGCAAGTAACCGAAAGGTCGCTGGTTCGAATCCCCCAGCCAACTAGGTGAAAAATCTGTCAATGTGACCTTGAGCCATGACTGTGGTAGAACTGCATTGCCCCCTTATGGTCATTCGCAGGATGACTTTAAAACTTTTTTTTTTTTAATGCCAGTTTAATCGTTAAGACATTTTTTCAACATTTGTCATATCCTTAATGTGTCTCCACATGTCAATCCTTTTCATTCTTCTGTCTATGTCCCTATTTGTCCATCTGTGTGGGTACAATAGTCTTCCACCCCCCCCCCCCCCCCCCCCCTCCTGGTCTGTCTTTAACTCCCAGCAGCATGTATTTTATTTTGCTTCCTAATTGCCCAGCATGGATGATAGTCTGGCTGTGTGTTTGATTGTGTGTGGCTGTGTGCGCACCCAACTGTTGGTCCAATTCCCAGACAACCGGTGAAAACTGGCCCCAGATAAACACTTAAAAAATCCCAATTGCAGCCAGCCAACTAAAATAAGTCTGGGCGAGTCAAGATCACAAAGATCACAATCTTCCTTGGTGCTATAAAGATCACTGGTTATTTCTGAATGGTCCTTTGCCGACGCATGGCAGGCTGGTCGCCTACACAGGTAGTATTCCGGCTCTATTTATTCTCCAGAGACATCTCCCCTAATCCCATAAACTCTTATAACTAGAAGCCCAATGCTGATACACCTTCGCCGTTATCTCCCGCTTTTTCTACCTCACTCACTCCCACCCTTTCTCTTTAGGGCCAACATCAGGTTTAAATCCGGCACAGCACCGTGAAGGAGTCAAGGTAGGCCTAAGCCTTAATGAGTAAATGTATGGCTGGGACGATACCAGTATCGCAGCATTTTTTCCATGGCAAAAATGAAAGCACTTGCGGACCACACTCTTTGGTCCTTTAAAAACCTGCTGTATGTAAAATAGTGTGCTATAGCTTGAAAAATAAATAATTGTGACTCTCCAACATCAGAGCTGTTTTCCTAATGAAATGAAATCCACTTTGTGTTTTGTTTCCTTGTCACGAAAATAATGAGTGTCGCGATACTGGTATCGTCCAGGCCCTAAGTAAATGTGTGTCTTGGTGTGTGTTGAGTGACAAGATATGACTTGATATACACAACAAGAAAATAACATCACCTTGGCTTACCGGTACATTAGCCTATTAGGTGAATGCGAGTGGATTGGATTAATCAACTCGTACCAATTTGATAGAAAGATGGTGTCTATCTACACTACAATAGTCATGTTGGATCAAACCCGTGTCACCATGTTAAGCTATTGGTTTGTTTGGGTGGCATCCTGGCCGGGTCAGTAGACACAGATGGATGACGTACAACAGCACGACACATCCTGTGCGTCAACTGGGAGATGGATACATCCATGCATACTTCCGAGGTCGCACCACGCACTCCGTCAGTGGCCAAGGCTGGGTAACTGTGCTCACTCAAGCCAATGTGGTACCTGGATATGGCTGGTTCCCAGGCCCCAGTCCCATCCACCCATCCCATTCACGTCACCTTCTGACCCAACCACTCACCCACGCCTGAAAGCCAAACCCATCCAGCCATGTCGTCCCTATCCCCCCCTCCCACAGGAAATGCTCACTTAGCCTAAGCCATACTCACATCCCAAACATGATATGACAGCGTCAAACTCAAAGTATTATTAGAATAATATTAACTATAGGCCTAAAGATGCCTGGCCTTTCCCATTCATTGGGGTCAGGGTGTGCTCTATCCAAACTTAGGCTAATTGGATCCAGACCCAAGCTAAAAAGCTTTTCTCTGAATGAAGAAATATTAGCAGAAAATATATTGAATGTTCAATGCTGTGTAATAATAACAGGAAAGCGGACAGGGGGTGCGAAAACCAGTGGGAAAACGAGGGAGAATGTTGTGAAATAGCCTGAACAATAGCAGATGGCATTGTGCCACCCTAATACAAAAATATTACAGCATTGTGTCCACGAATACGTCAATATAAGTGGCAAGTTCCTGCTTACAGATGATGATGACGACTAGACAGTTCAATACACATGCTTTGTTCAAATAATTGTCCCTCCCTCCAGCCCAGATTTTTACAGATGTAGCCTGACGTCTTCCGTCTACTCCTGTTATGTAATAAACAATTGAGAATGATGCAACTGATGTCCAAGTGCGTCCAGCAGTTCACATGTTTGGTTTTGACAACCCAACTATTATTCTGGTGACTTTTGGTTCCTTTTACCCCTCATTTCTTTTAACAGCAGTAAAACAGCAGAGATTCTTGTAAAGATACAGGAAAAATAATATGTCCCATATTGAGATACGCATGCATTACAGAGCATCACTATAATACATCTCGAAATAGCAAATAAATGTAGGTCAAATTAAAATTCCTACCACGATGTATATATAGATGGGTTGCAGAGGCGTGCCTGCCGCACGTCGGTGAATCAGAAACATGTGTACAGTCATCTTTCAAGCATGAGATGTGGTTGAAACTCCTCAAACAAACTTTGCATGATCACGTGCATTTATTATGAACATAATCATTCACGGTTACAGGTTGAGGCAGACGGGTCCGTTGGTTTCTCTCTGTGCGCTCCTGTAAATTCTGTCCCTTGCATAAAAATCCTTAAGTCTAGAGTGAGATTCTATTGGCCCGTCAGCGCTCCTTTCTGTCACTCTGTGTAAACCATAATACACGTGTACTCGGCTGTGCTTTGCAGGCGCCTCGCAGGCTGCTCATTGGACAGAGCACCAGACCAATGACAGAGAACTCAGTACTGAACATGTTTCTCACCGTGGCCGCAACACTGTGATGAAATACCAAATAGGCCTGCTAAGAGACTACTCTTTCTATTCAACAATTTCCCACAGCAGTGATTAACACGTGTATTAAGGAAAATACATGAATTATGCTTTCTTCAAAATAATGACTTATGTTTTTTCTTTGAGACAGGGCCTATAATAAAATGCAGAGTGACAATTTTACGAGTCCCACATGGCGGATGGGATCTTCCTGATATTACATAAAAATGGGCACTATGTGAAAATAGGTTACCCTTCATCACAATTACAGTACCTCGTCAATGGGACAGATCAGATGTAACCAAGAGAGCGTCACATTCTGTACGGAGGCTGCTGTAAAAATAGGCTAGTTTCACGGCAGGCAACCCTGAGAGTTAAGCATAGTGTGGCAAAATCCATTCAATGTCAGAGTCAGACCCATATTTACGAGGCCAGCCTATAGGATTTTTAATGGCTACTGGTGAGGAATTTAAATCTACATTATTCAGTGGGGAGAGTAATTGTGTGTTATCACACTGTAATTACAGGAGCATTTACAAAATTGTAGCCATCATGGCATTATTATTAGGCCTATGACTAAGTCTTGCTGCTTAAATAGGCTTGTATGCCCACCCACCCAGCAAGAATCAGACTAAATCATTGATAAAACAGCCACCACAGAGCAGACCCCGAGACATGATTGTCGGTTCAAGTAACAGTTGTAGTCCAAAGTGACCAAGACATAGGCCCATCACCACTGACACCATTTTTGAATGCAACATGCCCAAGCAAACTATTCATTCAAAGACCACAAAAACGAAAACAAATGGTCATTCGAGAGCCATGCTCAATAAAAACAGTAAATCACCCTAATGTTCAAACTTGTGAGAAACTGTCCAATCCATCTTTCTTCTCGTAACATAGCCTATTACATTGTCATTGGTCGACTTCTCCACATTATACATACAACTCTTGACTCCATAATGAGAACATATAGGCCTCGCCTAGGCCCAAAGCCCTACCTCAAGAGCCATGGTCAAGTAGCTAGTTCCCTTGAAAACAGCCACTTACACGGGTGACCTGACTGCATAACTGGTTGACTATTGTGATAACTTGTTAACACATTCATAACCATTGAAGTAGAACCATGGCTGTTTACCCCTAATTAACTACTATGGCTGGGAATTGCCAGCAACCTCACGATACGATATTATCACGATACTCAGGCGCCGATACCATGTGTATTGCGATTCTCACAATTCGATATGTATTGCGTTTCAATACTGCGATTTTTATTGCGATTTTATGTTCCAAACATATTGCTCACCATGTCAGCTGCAGAGAGACAAGAGAACGCCATAATAAAAATGGGTTTTGATCGGTCATCAGAAAACATGTTGGCTCACTACTTAACAAGAAGATGGAGAACAAGCTATAGAACGAAAATACAGGAGTTTTAGCGCAGGTACAGCCAGCCGACTAGCGCTAGCTAAAGCTACCTAGCTGAAAAATATATACAGCTGTGGCAAAAATTAAGAGACCACTGCACATTTTTCTTAAATCAGCATCTCTACATGTATGACAGCCATTCCATTCCAGTGTCTGTTGAATTCAGGTATAAGTGCTGGATTACTTGACAGAGAGAACTTGTTGCGAAGGGGAGTGCCTCGTGATACATCAGAGAGAGTGTATTTTGTTACAAAATACAGCACCGAAGCAGAGAACATTAAAATAATCATTAAAAATAATTCGGGAATCATCCAAAGTGATACGCTACTGCGCCAAGTCTTTCCTGAGCCACCAGTCATAAGCTTTAAGAGATGTCCTACCCTAAATAACAAATTAGTCCACAGTTATCTTCTGGGTGACTCTCAAAACGTGGCTTGACCACAAACCCAAGGGCTCTTTTAAATGTAACCAGTGCAACCATTGCAGAAACACTGCACAGAAAAAGTATTTTGTTGACACAGCTTCCAAAATGGAGTATTACGTCAAGCATTTCATTAACTGCAAAACCACTCATGTCATTTATAGATTGGAATGTCCACAATGCAAGGTGTTCTACATTGGACGGACAAAGAGACACCTTCAAGACCGCTTAGCGCAACACAAGTACGCCATACGGGTAGGCAATGAAGACTACCCCATGGCAAGGCACTACAAGTCCTTACACCATGGTAACCCTGCCTCCCTACAAGCTATGGGTATTGATCATATTCCGGCCTCTATTAGAAAAGGGGACCGTCTGAAACAGTTAAACCAAAGGGAACGTTTTTGGATTTACAAACTACAGGCCACTAAATAGCCTGGATTAAATGAAGACATGGATTTCTCACCCTTCTTGTAGGGTTGTGATAGGTCCATTTGCTGTCATCTAGTGGACATTGTGCTCAATTGCGCTCAGCTATGTTTAGACTGTTGTTGTTCATGTTTTGCTGGTTTCTAGTGTACTATGGAATATATTGCTTTCTTATTTTTGACACTTTTCCCAGTCATATTTAAGGTTAGAACTACCTTTCTATGTGTTCTGATACTTCCAACTTGGAGTTGTATTTGTATTTGTATGATAACATAGTTACAGTATTTCACTTTTTAATGTGTATAGTATTGCTTACTAGGTTTGTCCAATCAACTTTGTAACCACTCCCTCTTCAAATTAGGGCTAATTGGAAAAGCTGTTCAAAAGAGGACATTGTATTATTTCTTTGTACTCCCTGACGAAGGCCATGCAGCCGAAACGCGTCGTATAAAAAAAAAAAAAACTTGTTTCTATTGAACATGCCATCCTAATAAAGGCATTTTAATTAATTATATGAAGAGTGCCTTGGTCCTCCTTTCTTTTTGATTACTATGGTGTTGTTTAAAAATGAACATGAACTTATTTTCTTTGCATTAATCGAGGTCTGACAACACTGCATCTTTTTTGTTATTTTGACCAGTTGTCATTTTCTGCAAATAAATGCTCTAAATGACAATATTTCTATTTGGAATTTGGGAGAAATGTTGTCAGTAGTTTATAGAATAAAACTAAAATGTTATTTTTTAGCCAAACACATACCTATAAATAGTAAAACCAGAGAAACTGATAATTTTGCAGTGGTCTCATAATGTTTTCCGCAGCTGTATATCATTATTTTTATAAATCGATACTTGGAGTCAAAGTATCGATATAATATAACCCAAAATAATATTGCAACATGTAACTGTATCGATTTTCCCCCATCACGACCATTACGACTTACCAACAAACCATCCTTTATCACATTACTTTAATAAAATATTTCAGTGTATAATGACATTATTTTTATTTGATTACTTTATTTTATTCCAAGTCATCTCCTCTGTGCTCAGGCATTAGCAGTGCATTCGGAAAGTATTCAGACCCTTTGACTTTTTCCACCTTGTTGCGTTACAGCCTTATTCTAAAATTGATTAAATAAATAAAAAATGTCATCACTCTACACACAATACCCCACAATGACAAAGCGAAAACAGGTTTATAAACTTTTGCAAATGTATTTAAAATTTAAAAAAGAAAGTACCTTATTTACATAAGTATTCAGACCCTTTGGTATGAGACTCGCAATTGAGCTCAGGTGCTTCCTGTTTCCATTGATCATCCTTGAGATGTTTCTACAACTTGATTGGAGTCCACCTGTGGTAAATTCAATTGATTGGACATGATTTGGAAAGGCACACACCTGTCTATATAAGGTCCCACAGTTGACAGTGCATGTCAGAGCAAAAACCAAGCCATGAGATCGAAGGAATTGTCTGTAGAGCTCCGAGACAGGATTGTGTCGAGGCACAGATCTGGGGAAGGGTACCAAAACTGCAGCATTGAAGGTCCCCAAGAACACACGTC